CATTTTCCACACTGAGTGAAGGTTTGAGTACAACGATGGTAAGGGAGTTTTTTCATGAATCCTAACCTAGTTGCAGTAGGTAAAGCCAGCAGTGGAAAGATGTGGTATAGACTCCAACTGTAGCTGTATGAACAACAATGGACCTATGGCACTATGTTCTCTGAGGCCAAGTCAATTCCATCATGTTCATCATAAAATATCATTGTTCTGTGGAGCCCAAAGTGGTGAGAGTATGAAAAGAGCATAGGAAATTACAGACATTTTCCAAACAAAAATTATTTTTTCCCTTTCTCTAAGGAATGCTTGGATGACAAGAATTTACAACCTATTCAACATCATTATTTAAAATGAAATTTGCCAGTTTATTCTTAAAGTTCTCTAGATCAGTGGTGCTGCAAATGTAGGATACTCCTCCCTCTCTCTACTTTGGGGTGAGGCTTTTTTGGGAAGGAGTAGCATGTGTTCTTGTACTGCTTGTTCCACAATGCATACCAACAGAAAGTGAAACTAACCTCACAAGAGCAGTGTTTGATTATATATATAACCATACATCTATATTACCATAACTTAATTCGTATAGAATATATATATTCAGATTTGATTTTTAAAAAGCCTGTGGGTCTGTCAGGCTGATCCCTCTGCTTTAGTCTTTATTCCCTTCCTTTGCCTTTGGCTATTTTCTTGGGGTATTTTCAGGACTTCAAGCAGCTCAAAAGAGAGACTGTCTTAATTTACTTTTGTACAGTATGTTACAGATATTTTCTTAATAAGGTTTTATAAATAAAATCAGGTCTGTATGCATTTTCTCAGGTACTTTATTATAGCTCCTACATGTATTATTCTTCACATACAAAATCATAGAATATATATCAATAGGTACAAAATTATATTGCAGAAAGTCTAAGGGAGTGCCTATGGGTAATAATCTTTTCTTTGTGTGACTGATCACATGAGAAAGACTTCTGCCATTATAGTAACCCAGATCTTAATCATCATGCATGCAGGTTTATAGGCTGAAACACTGCCACTCTCTCTGCTATTTCAGGCTGTAGAGAAGTGGGAACTCTCTAACAGCTATTTCTGCCCCAGTCTGCCTCCTGCACTAACAGGACTTCAGTTACTTCATTAGTTTTTAACCACAGCCTCCAGTCAGGGAAAGCTTTTTACTAAGGTGTCCATATTCAGGCAGTAGAGAAACTAGAAAGTGTAGCACCAGAACACTGCTCCACTTTGTGGAATCCAGTCACTCCCTAGCCCGGCTCCAAAGACTGTGAGTCATACTTTCCACTTAATTAAATTAGACGAGTTTCTCATATATCATGTCATACTTTGCCCTACTGTTAGTCATCTCCCATCGTGACATTTTAATTGTTTGATTACTTCATCCGTACTCAAAGTGCACTACTATCATATGATTCATTTTATGCGGTAGAACACATACTCTTCAATGTTACATGTGGATATTTTTTACACTGTGGATTTCCATTGAAAATCATCCTTCAGAGCTGATGCAAGTAAGGCCTCAGTTGTCTAGGTCAAACTGTAAGAACACTAGTGAGACCAGTGTTAAGTCTTCCAGGAATGACAAGCATCTTGCTTATAAGCTTGTTGTCCGGCTTATCTCTGATACATCAAAAACACCATCATTTCAGCTGCAGAGGATCAACAGCACGGCATCTTGTTTTTCAGGCCTGCAAATCAGTGCTTGAAGTCGCAGCAGTTGTCTCTCTTCAAGCGCACTAACCCTCTGGACAGACAGACACTTTCTTCCCAGATAGATCTGCTGAGTAAATCACCTACTAAGGAAATCATCTGCCATGTCTGCATGTCTTCATCTAAGAATGGGACTGTCCCCCCTTGCAGTGACACATCATCAGCACAGCACACACGTGTTTGGTGGTGTAGACTGATAGCTTATGGTGATTACCCCAAGCAAGATACCCAATCCAGGGACCTGGATTTAAAGCAGCTCTGTCCCAAGCTCCCTCTGTGGTCCCTGCCCACACAGAGATTCCCTCCACTGAATGAATTAACACTGTGATACCTTAGAGGCTTGAGCTGAAAGGAAACTTCAAGATTTAAATAGGCTTGAAAGGAGGCTGTATATATAGCATCCATTAGTCTGTTAATTTTATTACTCTTAGAAAAAGGAGGGTTTAGTCTATATTCTACTGAATGTCTGGGTCGTCTTCTGTTTGAAATTTTATTAAGAACTGTATCATAACCTTGCACTAGGGAATGAGTCCAGGAGTTAATTTTGCTATTTTATGCAGTTCCCTATTTATTTTAAGCAGGAAAAGTAGCCATATTTTAACTTACATCATTCTAAGTCTGTGAGGTTGTGGTGCCCCCTAATGTCATGAAGACTAAAGACTGTTAGTTTTGTTGATGACTTTCTCTCAAAACTCTCTGTAGAAACAACACTGTAAATGACATTTTATTTCTCAAATATATTGTGGCACTCAAAACTTTGTTTCAACATCCCTTTTTCATATTGTATACACATGAGGAATAAAATAATTTTATTTTTAAGTCTTATTTTCATTTTCAATCCTGAAAACATAATTTGTCTCAGAAGTTAGGTTCTTAAATATTTGTTGACACCAAACAAATGGCAATCAATTTAAAATGTTGCATTCCTAGAATTTTCTTTTGATTTTTAAGAGTCAGTGCATACTCATACATTTTTAAATGCAGAAACCTACATATGTTTTAGAGACCATAACCATAAGCAGCCATAATATTAATTTCCACTGAAATATAAAACTATGCTTTAATTTTACTATCTTTAGTTGTTTTTTTGTTGTTTTTTTCTTATGATACCATTAGAATGTAAGTACTATTGGAATAAAACACAGCTACAGTAACAAAGTTAAAATATTTATTCACCAGTACTCACCTATCCCTACGAAAGATTCATGCATGCTGAAATCAGTCATAAAGGAACACTGTAGTCCTAAGTCAGTTTGCTATGAACATTAAAACCAATAAGCAAGGAATAAATTGAATCAGTAAATAAAAAAGTTATTTTTCTATGTTCCATGTACTTAAGAGCTTATTGCATTGTCTCTTTCCAAGTGAACACCTACACCACAAAGTGAAAAAACAATATTATATGAATCATGTTTGCATACAGTTAGCTTCTTTCATAGTTACTTTCCCTTTACTAAATCCTTTTGAAATCTCAGTTCAGCAAATAATCTGTTTGTTGGGAGGTTTATGCTTGTTTTTTTTGAAGAAATGTACTTACTACATAGAATCAGAAATGTTTGTTTCATAGAGCATCCCAACGGATGTTTTTCATATTACGTTCATTATTACTTTATGAACACATGGAAAATAATGCTATACTGAAACAGAACAGTAATAGGGTCATTAACCTGTATCACTGTAGAAGAGGGCAACACCATGTGTTCTTCTGTCAGGAGAAGTACCTAACATTAATTTTCTGTAGAACAGGTAACTTACATTAATATAAGTAGCTACATGATTTATGACATTAAAAATGTAAAATTATTCATCAGCAACAATTTGGGTAAATGTTCAGTATGTAATTAGGGAAAAGAGTTAAAATGTGTGTGTGTGCATGTGTGTGTGTGTGGTTCCTGTGTGGTATTTTTTTTATGGTTTGAAGTCGAGGAAGAAAAAAAACTCAGCTCCCCACTAGCTAAACCAACACGTCTGAGCTGAAACCAAAGCTGAAACCATGGCACAGAGGATGAACTTAATCCTGGGAAAATGACTTCTTGATTGTAGTGACTGCTCTGCCAGGAAAAGGATTAAAATTGGTGAGCAGAAACCAGAGTTAAGTGTACAAACATCTAAGTACCGCTAAGACAAAAGAAAATTTATATACAGTAAAGAGGAATGTTATATCATAGACTATTAACACCTTGCAGTTGTTTTCTCAAAGCAGTCCTTGAAATGACTACTAGGGCCACCCTCACAGTCCTTGTTCAGATACAGCCATGTCAGCTTTGGAAAGTCACAGGAAGACATGAGAGACTTGGATTCCTCTGCTGGTACACCAGAAGAGTCAGATTAACTGCCAGTATAAAGGCTAGCAGGACATGCCTGTTCACAAAGTGTGTTTGATGTCACATACAAACATCACCAGATGCCTGTGTAAATAGTTTCAAAGTGTCTAATATGGCAAAGTCCATAAATATGCATATAACATATAACATCAGCTGTAAACAATTACTTTTCTTGTGCATTGCTAAATAAAATGTACCCTCCCATTTTAACTATATATTATATATAAAAGACGTATTTCTGTTCTGCAGCTCTTACACTTGTTTAAAAGCACATCAGAATCTTAAATCTAGGCAACGAGAACAGATTACTGCTCATTAATGATATATTTTTGTACTAATCTTCCCCTCTCCAAATGGTTTTGTTCCTTATTTTGCCATACTGCTGACATTACTGCTGCTCCCAATTTACTGAAATCAGATACTGAGTATCTTGCTGTTGCTCCTTGCTTCTCACTCTTTCTGAACATGCACTGCACTTGTGTGTTAACTATCATACTTTGCTCACTTTCTTTTCTGGCCGGTCTTCGGCACCACCTGGTGTCTGACTTGTTGCTTGTTTGTTCTGTAAAGCAAAATCAGCGCCTTATTTCAAACAGCATAAAGTAACGTTATAATGGAAGTGCATTTAGCAGTTAGGGAAAATAATATAATTAGTCTTTTGCTGTAGCAAGACCTTCAATTTTAGCTAGAAGATTACTATCTGATGATGACAAAAGCCTTAGAAGACAAAATTCAGAAACTTGTAATGTAGAATGAGAACTTAATGACTCAGTTATGCAAACTACCTAACTGAATACCTCAATTACTATTAAAGGATATTCTAGGGAAGAAACTATGTCTAATAAAATCCAGTTATAAAATTCAGGAGGAAAATGAGTAATGAAGTTTGTAATAAATTCTAGATGGATTAAATTCTTTTAACAATTTTAATTTATTCACAGAACCTAAGGGCTTCCTATTGTATCTGTACACACAACTCTGGTTGATTCTGCAAGCTGTGGCACCTACTGACTTGCAAAGACAGCACACCTGGCTTATGGCAAAACAGAAAGTGCAGATGGAACAGTACTGAAATGTAAGTAACTGGAAAATTAGGTACAAAAATAATCTATTGCTGTTGTTTCCTGATGCTTCACTGAAGCCTCCTGTACTGGTTTTGGCTGAGATAGTTCATTTTCATAGTAGTTGCTTGTAGGGTGCTGCATTTTGTGTTTGCAACCAAAATAGAATTGGAAACATTGGGATGTTTAGCTAATGCTGAGTAGGTCTTGCACAGCATTAAGACCTTTTCTGCTTCTCATGCTGCCCTGACAGTGAGCAGGCTGAGGGTGCACAGGAATTTGTCAGGGGACACAGCTGGAACAGCTTGTACAGCTGACCCCAACTGAACAAAGGGATATATCCAGACCATATGATGTTCTCAGCAGTAAAAAAATTGGAGAAGGAGGGGACATTTGGAGTTACGGTATTTTTCTTTCCAAGTCATCATTGTTAATGATGAAGCCCAGCTTTCATGGAAATAGCTAAACCCATGCCTGCCAATGGGAAATAGTAAATCAAGTCCTTATTTTTCCCTTATATTTATTTCAACCCCTGATCTTTCTCATTTTCACCATTCTGAATTCTCTCCCCCGTCCTGCTACAGGCAGGAGAGAGTTAGTGGCTGTTTGCACTTAGTTGCTTACTAGGGTTAAACCAGGCCACATTTTAGATATTCCTTTCACATGGGCAAATGCTTCAGGGCTAAAATTCTTCAACTGAATTTCAACTGTAATAAACCTTTTTAAGCACACGGAGAATTTTCACTGGCATTCTGTATGGAAACAAATTTTATGTTTCTCTCTGCATGCCATCTTTCTGGGTGTGCTTTTCCACAAAAGAAACAGAAGGCCCAGGACAGAGGTATCTCTGCTACACCAGCACACCCGTTACATCCTGATTAGAATAAGCTGCACTACGAGAAGGATGCACCTATTTCCACATCCACTTCTGGCTGTAAGGGACCATCTGGCAAAAAGTAAAAACTGAGGAATTATGTCCGTCTAAGCCTCCGGCTATTTTCGGCTCAGGCCGTTTTCCACACCTGATGCAGCGTGCTACTTCCATAGTGTGAAAAATGAGCTTCACATACTTTAATATAGAATTTAAAAGTTTAATAGAAAGACAATTAGGAGATAAAAATAAAGTATACAGATATGGCCAGGTGTCTCTGCATTCAGCCAAGAGAGCACACCTTACTAACAAAGGATTGTCCCTTAAAAACAGAACCCTACTACATATTCATAAATTCTCATACTTATTCATACATTCTTCCTAAGTTTTTTGATGTTCCTTGTTTAGTTTTTACTTTGCCCCCTTCCCAATAGATCAATCGTCTTGGCGCCACTGGGTTTTATATCCTCTGGTAACAGATGCAATAAATTCTTCTCTTGGAGAGCTTGGAGGACAAGATAATCTTAAGAATGCAGGGGGGGTCTCTGACTATCTTTTCAGTCTCTGGGTTATATAAACAAAAGTAGTTTGTACTTTAATATCATGTTATAGCCTAACATATATATATTATACCACTATTTCTAAGTTTCATCAATATCAGAAATAAACTATATTAATACAACAAAATTTTCTAACCTTATACATACAACATTCATTATAATATTTGCGAAAAGCCAATAATATAATATGCGCTTATAACAATAGCCACGGATTACATTCTCTTTGAAGCACCCGCTCAGTCTTCCCTGAGACCTGTGTAAACTCTGCACTGGCAGCAGCCTCAGCCGACTGCTCCTGTGGCCGGACAAATGATCCCCCCAGCTGCTTCCAAGCGAGGTCCTGTTACTTTCCTGTAGTGGCTCACTCAGGTGCTCACTCAGAATCACAGAATCAATTAGGTTGTAAAAGTCCTCTGAGATCAAGTCCAACCTATGGCCAAACACCACCACTTCAACCAGACCATGGCACCGAGTGCCACATCCAGTCTTTCCTTAAACACCTCCAGGCATGGTGACTTCACCACATTCCTGGGGAGCCCATTCCAATGCCTAATCATCCCTATGAAGGAATTCCTTCTTATGTCCAGCCTAAACCTCCCCTGGCACAGTTTATTACTATGTTTCTCCTGCTGGTTGTCTACGAGAAGAGGCCGAACCCCAGCCGGCTACAGCCTCCTCAGCCAGCTGTAGAGAGCGATAAGGCTCTCCCTGAGCCTCCTTTTCTTCAGGCTAAACACCCCCAGATCCCTCAGGCACTTCTTATACAACTTGCGCTCCAGTCCCTTCACCAGCTTTGTGGCCCCCCTCTACACAAAGAGGAGGAGCCTGCAGCAGTTCGTGGCCACCTCCCTTCCCAGCCCGCCCCGCTTCCCGGGCTGAGGAGCCCCAGGTTACGCTGCCCTCTTCCCGGCCGGGCACCACCCCTGGTCCCGAAGCCCCGGAAGCGG